ATTACAACACATGTAATAATTAGCTACAACTAGCTAATAGAGCGATAAAGTGGCCTCGCGGGCGAGAGAGATATGCATGCTCCGTTGGCTTCTTCCCGAAAATCCACCGCCTTGCCTTTGGATGCCTCTGTTTGCACTTTGTTTTGACCTCTAAACCTCATACCAATTAACAGACTGCCTTTGTTCCAAAACAAGAACACTTTGAACAACTCTTCAATTGGTGGCCGGCCGGCTACCATAGGTGGCTGTTGGCCACTGTCACTGGCCGGTCAGCCACTATTTGTGGCTGTCGGCCACCACTGGTGGCCGGTCGGCCACCCTTTCCCTGGAATTCTCTTTTTTGCTGCAATGGAGAGCAAACAGAGGCAAAGCAGTGTATTCTTCAAGGAATGTGTGTACTGCCACCTCCTTATTATGTCTCAAGCTCAAAGGAGTATGGCACTTGGCTCTTAAGCCACCAATCAAGCATCTCAATGCATGATGGACAAAGGACCAAGCTTGTACAATCTTAATAAATGCACACATAAGACTCGAATGGCCACTATCCTATCATGCATGATCAATGGTGACGACGACCAAGAAATGCGACACGCTTCATCACTTTGAGTATGAAACGTCCCTCATTCCTCGTGTTTGGATTAATGTCCGATCCAAACACATTCAATGCAACGCAAATGCTTATTTTGTTCATGTTTTACTTTGCTCATATTGTTTACACATTTTACATTACCGATTAATCTTTTAACCGATTAAGTTCAATGTGAAAGTCCTCTAATTTGAGAGGGGTCAACCAAGGGATGATTTAAGACATGAGAGAGATCATGCCTTTAGTTAGGAGGAACCCTCAAAAGAGGGTTAAAGCCATTTGAGCACAAACTCTAACTCGTGCTTAAACACAACCTTAGGGCTAACAAACCCTCAAAATAAAAGGAAAAGTGAATAAATAAGGGAGGTTGCAGACTTTTAGTGTTGAAATGGCATGGCAAAATAATGCTAAACATGTAAGCAACATATACACAACATGTTAAGCGCCAAAAACATTAAAACTAGTGAAGAACACTACACTAGAGGCATGCAATACCAAACTTAAATGACCAAACCAGCTTTGGATAGAGCTAAAACATGCCAAAACAATGGTCTAAACATGCTGAGATAGAAGCTCAAAAAACTAGGAGAACATGCACACATGTTAGCTCACAAACATGGCATAATGCATAACCCTCAAAAGCAATGAAGAAGTGAAGTATGAGAGAGTGTGATAGAGGTTTATGCACTGAAATACATGCTAAATGATGCTATGGCATGCAAACAACCCAAGCAAAGCATGTTGAAGGCCTTGAAACACAAAGCTAGTGAGGCCAACTACATTATAGCCATGCAAAACAAGCCTCAAAGGACCAAGACCACTCAAAACAGAGTTAAAGCATGCTAAATCAGTAGCAAAAATGTGCTAGAGTTAAGCTAACACAAACTAGAACAATAGGCTAAATCATCAAATATGCTAGGCTAGTAAGCATGATTGCATTACAAGTACAAAAAGCAAGCAACAAGTGACCCAACCAGCCAAAAACAAAGTAAAGCATGTCGAAGTAAAGCCTAAAACATGCTTGAACTAAGCTTAAAAAAGGTAGAAATACATGCACATATGTTAGGCCATCAACACATGCAAACAAGATACAAGGAGGGGAGGCCACCCCCTCCTAGTTTGGACCTCAAAACCAACTTTCTACCACTAAAATTTCCCTGGAATTCAGTGGTTAAAAGGCCAAAAAAGAATTGTTTGAAAAGCTTGAAAAGATAGCACAACTCTTAGCAAATAGGCAACAAAAGAAACTGGACCACCCTCAACTCCAAAAAGACCTTAAACCACTATTTTTAAACCTTAAAAATAAAGGTTTTTGTAGTTGAAAAGTAGGCCAAAAGCAGCATGCAAAGGTGACTAAACTAGCAACTAAAACAAAACTTTAAAGAGGGTAAGGCTTTACCCTTGAAGCACAGCAACAAACAGCACTAATTCTGAGCTCAAACCAAGCTTATGACCTCAAACCAAGCTTCAAGAGACCTTAACTCCAAGGTGAAGGTGTTTGGCTAAGGGGTTGTATGCAAATATGTAAAGAAAACTCACTTTCAAGCACTAAATAGGAAGAGAGAGAGAGAGTGAAATTTTGCTTCTAAAATTTCTGAATCCTCAAAATGGGGGAGGGACCTCCCCTTATATATAAAAATAAGCCAAAAGCTTGGCTTCATCCTTCCATACACGTGTATGGAGGATACACTCAGTGATCAACAATTGGCACCAACTGGCAAATAAATATCTAAAAAATGAGAAAAATGGCCGTTAGCCATCAGTAGTGGCCGATCGGCCACCACTGATGGCCGGCAGGCACAAGCCATGGCCGATGGACACTGGAGATAGCCGACAAGCCATCCTCTTCTCCAGATTCAAAGCAAAAAGTTCTTGGTCCACAACCAAGCACAAAACAGACAAGTTGAGAGGCTCCAAGGTAAGGCGCTCAGCTGAGACCTTCAGAGACTCAAAACGAACACGAGCATGCGCAATCATTGGGTGTTCAAACGATGACGTGCAAGTCTTGAGGACGGTCAAAAATGAGGTGTCTATAGGCCCATGCCTCACCAAGTAGGAAGAGACTCCGGAAGGGAAATATTCTGCATTTTTTTATACTTCTTTGGGCTTTTTTATCTTTACTTTAGTAATCACATGATTTTTTCCTTTTTAGGGCCTATCGGCTATACCACCTTTGGGCCCCAGAGGTTCTTTTACTACCATCGAAATTTCCTCAGATTCAGACAACCATGATGACCTTCCTATTGCTTCAAGGGTCATAAGACTCAAAACTCGCAGAATGGTACTTCCAGACGTTGAAGAAGAACCAAGTGCTGAAGCCGAACCAACTACTGAGGCTGAGCCAGTTGTTAAGTTTGAGCCAGATACTGAAGTTGCAGACATTGACGGAGGTCGTGATACCTCCCTTGCTGAAAACGAACAAGTCTCCTGTACTGTGGAAGTTGCAGCGGGCGGTGTAGTTCTAAAGGGTGCAGAACCTCCAAACCTTGCTGATTCTGTTCATTTTGACCGTTTCTTCGTCAGCGAGGATGATTTTTTTCTAGAGACTCCGAGAGAGGAGCGTGCCATAAGAGAGCCATTAGAAGTTGCACCACCCTCATTGGGAGCTGTATTTGGGGGTTCTTCCCAGTCCACTAAGTCTCCACTAGTTCCACAGATCCCACTTCCTAATGTTCAAGTTGCTGAGAGAGGTGCAGATGTAGAAGATGTTCCTACTGTGGGCCCCTCAAACTTGGCCTAACTTACAGAGGTAGCTGCCAACCTGGCCACTCATAGTGCTATTGCTGCTGCTGATGCTTCTGGCCCAATTACCTCAACAACTTCTGAGCAACTCACTGATCTGTACCTCACTCACTTCCCTGAGGTGTCAACTAATCTTGGGGGATCACTAGACTTTTATGTGGACATGGACACCACTGTTGTGCCAGATCTGAATGTTTCGAACTATTATATGGACGACCTATTTTCGGAGTAACATGATGGTGCAGGCAACTTTGGCCTTTCTCGTGAGGTCAGTTCGCCTGGTCGCCTCCCAGCATCTACTCATTCTAATGCCAGTGGACAGTCATCTTCAGAGGAAGTGCATCACTTTCAGACCTTTGGTCGCTCTGCCAATCTCCCTTCAGTAATTGAAGCTAGCGGCGGTGCAAGAGAATCCCCTCAGGCCTCAGGAAAAGTTTATTTTCTAAGTTATTGGGTCTTCTCCGAAGCTGTTCCTATTCTTGTCTGCATCCAGGCGCTACACCCTAGCAGCTTTACTGCTTTTAACGTTCCTGGCTCTATAGTGCAGACAGCGCTACTGGAGTCACTTACTAGTTTCATTCGTGACCTTGCTACTAAGAAGATTCTAATAACTCCCAGCAAGTTCATGGAAAGTGCTGAGGCCAATCTGAGCGATTTTGAAAGGAATAGTTTGGACCTATCGTGGATAAGGGATAGGCTTTAGGCAGTCGATGGGTTCCTTGAGCATGCAGACAACGTGGCGATGATTGCATCCTTAGAGGAGACTATCAAAGAGTGTAAGTGTGCCTTGGAGCAGCATTGGCAGAACCTAGCTCGATTCAAAGAAAAGGACTCTGCGCTGGTTGCTTAGTTGCCTCGGGATGTGACCCTGATGGACTCCCTCATGAAGGGCTTGATTTGATGTATCGTAACTTTGTTATGGCTCTTTTTCTTTGTACTTTTGCTATATTTTTTTCTTTCTTCTTTTCCTATTGAACATTGTAATCATGCTATGGAAAACTTTGATGTTTATGAGAAGCAAAGATATTGAGTCTTACTTCATTGCCTTCCTTTCATTGTCTTTACATGTCTTCTAAGGATGAGCAAAACTCTTGCTATGAACAGGACTTCGTTATGACTACGTTTTTACGAGGATGAAATTTCACTAAGTATGAAAAACTTTCCCTAGACTAAATGTTTACAAGAGTAACAAGTTTACTAAGTATATGACACTTTCTTACACTTTGCTTTGGAAGTATTAACAGAGAAACTTTAAAACTCCTTTTCTGAACCCATCATCTACTCTTGTCAACTTGTAATACCCGCTATTGCTTACCTCAGCAACTTTGTAGGGGCCTTCTCATCTTGGCGAGAACTTGGAGATTAGTTGCCCCCGCATGATTGCATCTACTGTTTTCCATACTAAGTCCCCCTCATTAAACTCCCTGTGTTGAACAGATTGATTGTAGGCGCAAGCTATGGATTGATGATACTTTTCCATTGCTTGTGAGGCCTGATATCTTCTTTCTTCGGCTGCCTCTATGTCATTATTCCTGCTGTCTGGAACTAAGTGTGCTAACATAGCCATCCTTACTGAGGGTACTACTAACTTAACTGGTAACACAGCTTCAAACCCATATACTAGGGAAAATGGGATTGCCTGAGTTGGCTTTCTCTTTAACGTTCTATACGCCTAAAGTGCTACGGGGAGTTGTTCGAACCATGTACCCCATACTTCATCCATCATTTTACTTAGTATTCGGATGAGGGTTTTGTTGGTTACCTCAGCTTGTCTGTTCCCTTGTGGGTAGTACAGGGTAGACTTGTGGTGCTTGATCTGATAAGTGTCCAACAATCTTCCCACATGGCAGTTCACAGAGCGGGTCCCATTATCAGACAACATCACCTTGGGTATGCCAAACCTATAAATTATGTTTTCTTTGATGAAGTTTGTCGCTCCTGCCTCATCAACCTTCCCCATTGGTATAACCTCTAGCCACTTGATACTAACTTCAGTCGTTGTAAGTATCCATCTGTGGCATTTAGATTGCTGCACTATAGGACCTACAAGATCAAATGCCCAAGTATGAAACGGGTAAGGGGTTTTGATGTTGTGCAGTTCAACCGTCGGTGGGACTCCGTGCTGGTTGCTTAGTTGCCTCGGGATGTGACCCTGATGGATTTCCTCATGAAAGGCTTGATTTGATGTATTGTGGCATTGTTATGGCTCTTTTTTTGTACTTTTGCTATCTTTTTTCTTTTTTCTTTTCCTTTTGAACATTGTAATCATGCTATGGAAAACTTTGATGTTTATGAGAAGCAAAGATATTGAGTCTTACTTCATTGCCTTCCTTTTATTGTCTTTACATGTCTTCTAAGGATGAGCAAAACTCTTGCTATGAACAGGACTTCGCTATGACTAAGTTTTTATAAGGATGAAATTTCACTAAGTATGAAAAACTTTCCCTAGACTAAATGTTTACAAGAGTAACAAGTTTACTAAGTATATGACACTTTCTTACACTTTGCTTTGGAAGTATTAACAGAGAAACTTTAAAACTCCTTTTCTGAACCCATCATCTACTCTTGTCAACTTGTAATACCCGCTATTGCTTACCTCAGCAACTTTGTAGGGGCCTTCTCATCTTGGCGAGAACTTGGAGATTAGTTGCCCTCGCATGATTGCATCTACTGTTTTCCATACTAAGTCCCCCTCATTAAACTCCATGTGTTGAACAGATTGATTGTAGGCGTAAGCTATGGATTGATGATACTTTTCCATTGCTTGTGAGGCCTGATATCTTCTTTCTTCGGCTGCCTCTATGTCATTCTTCTTGCTGTCTGGAACTAAGTGTGCTAACATAGCCATCCTTACTGAGGGTACTACTAACTTAACTGGTAACACAGCTTCAGACCCATATACTAGGGAAAATGGGATTACCTGAGTTGGCTTTCTCTTTGACGTTCTATATGCCTAAAGTGCTACGGGGAGTTGTTCGAACCATGTACCCCATACTTCATCCATCATTTTATTTAGTATTCGGATGAGGGTTTTGTTGGTTACCTCAGCTTGTCTGTTCCCTTGCGGGTAGTACATGGTAGACTTGTGGTGCTTGATCTGATAAGTGTCCAACAATCTTCCCACATGGCAGTTCACAGGGGGGGCCCCATTATCAGACAACATCACCTTGGATATGCCAAACCTATAAATTATGTTTTCTTTGATGAAGTTGGCCGCTCCTGCCTTATCAGCTTTCCTCATTAGTATAACCTCTAGCCACTTAGTACTAACTTCAGTCGTTGCAAGTATCCATCTGTGGCATTTGGATTGCTGCACTATAGGACCTACAAGATCAAATGCCCAAGTATGAAACGGGTAAGGCATTTTGATGTTGTGCAGTTCAACCGTCGGTGTATGTATCAAGTTTCCAAACTTCTGGCAGGATTGGCATCTCCTTACAAAATTTTTAGCATTTCTTCCATTGTCGGCCAGTAGTAGCCGAGGTGAATAAGGTGCCCATATGATCGCTGCGCTCCTTAATGCTTTGCTTAGTGGGCATCCCTCAGCACTTCGTTTGCCTCATCTTTTGATAAACACGCTAAAGGTTCTTCTTCAAAGCTTCTGCGATACTGCTTGCCTTGGTCAAGGAAGAAGCGGAGGGCCCACATCTTAACTCAAATTGCATTGGCTTTGTTCTCAGGCAGTGTGGCATTTCCAAGATAGTTAATATACGACTGCCTTCATTCCTCGCTGCTTAAGAAATGGGCTTCTTTTTCTTTAGGATGGGACTGACATTTTGCACATTGCCTCTACAACTCCGTACTTTCATTTTCCATCTTTGGCTAGTAATACCCTTGCCTCTGCATCTGTCGGTATAGACTGATATCTCCATCTCCGCTAGACTTAGCATGAATTTGCTTAAGTCTGTAAGTTGCTTCTTATCTATTGACGCACCTTGCTAGTAGGTTGTTAGGACCACAAAAATACAACTCTCCTTTGAGGAGCAAGAATGATGTAAGTTTTGCTGGTCTGATTATTCCCTGGCCTGTTTTCAGCTGTTGGATTATATCTGTTTTCCATCCCTCAGCATCTTGCTCTGTATGTTCTTCGGCTAACACTGTTGGTGTTATTCTTTTCTCGATGATGATGGATATACTATTATCTAGAATATCCACCTTTGCCCCAGTGTAGCTAAGGTATCGGGGAAACGACTGTGTGTTTGAGGGGTGTACTGGATTTGGACATGCTTAAACTAAGTGAGCAACTTTTGAACTATGGTGTGATAAGGGGCCAACAGGGGCTCCTTCAAAGCGAAATCACCCATTGTTTGCTTAACAACTAACTTGGAGTCACCCCAAATTTTCAACTTACGGAGGCTTTCCTTTTGAGCAGCGATTAGACCTAGTATCAACACCTCATATTCAGCCTTATTGTTTGAACACGCAAAGTCAAGCTTATATGATAAATGAAACTTCTCTACTTCTTGACTTGTTAGTGTTATGCCAGCTCCACCTTTCCCAGCTCTAGAGGCTTCATCAAATTTTAAATCTTAATAAGTCTTAACCGCTGCTGCTGAGGCGTGGACCTCACCAGGTAGGGGTACCTCTGCAAATTTATGTTCACTAGATGGGAATTGTGCTAGCAAGTCCGCAAGTGCTTGGCTCTTAATAGCCTTAGGCATAACGCAAGTGATTTCATATTCTACGAGAGCCAAAATCCATTGTGCCATTCTTCCCATCAAAGCGGGCTTGCTCAATAAGTAGCGAACTGGATCACTCCTAGTTACAACCTGGATCGGGTGTGCCAAAAAATAGTGGTGTAACTTCTGCGTCGTGAAGATTAAGGCTAAATAATGCCTCTCAATTGGGGTATACCGTGATTCAACACTATTAAATTTGTAGCTGATATGATAGACTAGTTTCTCAACACCGTCTATGCCTCGGACAAGTAGAGCTCCAATAAACCGAGGTGTAGAAGTGAGGTACAGTAGTAGGGATTTTTCAGGTTGTAAGGCAATCATTGTAAGTGGAGAGGTAAGTACTTGCTTCACCATATCGAATGCCTGTTGGTGTTCTTGCAACCATTCAAACTTGTGATTTCCTTTCAGTAATGTCTCAAAGGAAAAGGTTATCTTAGCAAGAGCTGGAATGAACCTCCTCAGGTATGACACTTTGCCTAGGAATTTCTTCAAGGCTTTTTGAGAGTGTGGTGGTGTCATCTCCATGATTGACTTGATTTTAATCCCCATCTATTTCAATCCCCCATTAGTGTGCCAGAAAACCAAGAAACTTGTCTGCGGTAACTCTGAAGGCACACTTGAGAGGGTTCATTTTCAAGCAGAATTTTCGGCAACGTTGAAAAACTTTTTCCAAGTCACAGAGGTGGCGGTTTGCCTCAGTAGATTTTACCACCAGATCATCCACATACACTTCCACTTCATGATGTAACATGTCATGGAACATTGCAATCATAGCCTGTTGATAGGTTGCCCCCGTGTTTTTTAAACCGAAAGGCATCAGTGTATAGAAAAAATTTCCCAAGGGCGTTCTGAAAGCTATCTTTTGCCGCATCTTCTGGTGCCATTTTGATCTGGTTATAACCACTAAACCCGTCCATGGAGGAGAACATCGGATGGCCCGCGGTAGAATCGACAAGTGTGTCAACATTGGGCAATGGAAACTCATCTTTTGGGCAAGCCTTGTTCAAGTCGCGAAAGTTTACACAGACCCTGATCTGGCCGTTCTTTTTTTTCACAGACACAATATTTGCTAGCCAAGTTGGGGTACTGTATAGACTCAATGAACTTGGCCCTCTGCAACTTCTCTACCTCTACCTTAATCTTTGCTTCGAGATCAGGGTGATACTTTCAAGCATGCTGCTTTATTGGCTTAGAGTTGGGGAAAGTGTCAAGGTGATGGGTGACAAGAGATGGGTCAAGACCAGGCATCTTATCGTATGTCCAAGCAAAGACGTCACTGTACCGCTTCAGTATTGTTATCAATTCTGCCTTAGCTGTTAGAGCTATTATATCGCTGATAAACATGGGCTTGCTTTGCCCTGGTAAGTCGTTGAGGTTGACCTTTGCAAGAACCTCCTGCTGCAGTTTGGGTCTATCTTACATGCATTCAGAGACAGGCTTAAGCATTTCCGCCAACCATTCTTGGGACTCATTGCCATCACATTTATTTGTCTCGGGGCCATCCTTTCAAGGTTTGAAGTCTGGCCCCCAAGATCGTTATAGGTAGTAAACTATCTTGCCGCCCTCACGCACCTTAACAATCTTGGGCGAAGGACTTATGGACTCGCTGCTCCTCTTCTGCCCAGTACTTTCTAGAGCAGCCTCTGCATCTCGAATGTCTTCTAACTTTGACCTTTGCAAGAACCTCCTGCTGCAGTTTGGGTCTATCTTACATGCATTCAGAGACAGGCTTAAGCATTTCCGCCAACCATTCTTGGGACTCATTGCCATCACATTTATTTGTCTCGGGGCCATCCTTTCAAGGTATGAAGTCTGGCCCCCAAGACCGTTATAGGTAGTAAACTATCTTGCCGCCCTCGCGCACCTTAACAATCTTGGGCGAAGGACTTATGGACTCGCTGCTCCTCTTCTGCCCACTACTTTCTAGAGCAGCCTCTGCATTTCGAATGTCTTCCAACTTCGGCAATTTTACCCTTACAACCTTACCAGTCCTTAGAGTTTCATCCGTTGACAGCTCAATAAAGAAAACTACATTAGAATAGTGTGCCTCTTTTACTCCAAATAGCTTTTCAGACGAATTTATGGTCACTGTGTGCTTCTCCAACTTTGCCTTTACGCATTGGTGATCACTCGACGGGATAGCCCCATATCGGTGCATCCAAGCTCTGCTAAGTATCCTGTGGTAATTTGTGTCCACTTCAATCACATGGAACTTGGTTGCAGAGCGGATCTTGCCAACTACTAAGTCTACTACAGCATGGCCCTTAGTAACTTTTTTCTTGCCATCAAAACCCGCCACGGTAATGGGTTAGCGGACCATCCTGGACTCTGGGATACCAGTCTTTGCAAAGGTGTTAGTAGTGATAATGCTTATGGACGCTCCACTATCAAGGAAAGCACGCTTTAACTCTACATCATTGATATAAGCTGTGACAAAAAGAGAACGGTTATACGGAAATGGGTATGCTCTGTCTGCCTCTGAAAAAGTATTGGCCCCATAATCTTCCTGGATGTGCCAAGGCACATACTCCTTAGCCTTAGCAACTTCAGTATGGTGCACTTCAGAGATGTTGATGAGGGACTTTGTTGCTTCTAACCTGGTGGCTTGACTTAGCCCCAGCTGGTCAAAGAAGGTATGAAACTTGATAGAGTTTTGCAAGGCATGGGCATGAGTACCCTCTGCGAGTGTTGCCTCCGCAGGTACTGTTTCAAGGAGCTGGCCAGTTGCGATTTCTTCTAACTCATCATAGTAGGATGCCACGTGCACTTGATCGCTCACATGACCAAGATAGCCAATCATATGTACATTCTTCCCTTTCTCCTTGTGGTTAAGATAAGGGTCCTTCCTCACATCACGGTTACTAGCATATTTGAACTTCAGCTCGAACACTTGCGAACAAGTTTTCTTGCCAATTTTCATTTTTTTTAATCTTTGTCGACCAACCAATAAAAATAAAAATAAAATAAAATAAAACCAATCACACTATTTTATTTTATTTTTTGTGGGTTATGTTAGAAGTGGATAAATATCGGGCCGGATCGACACTACATAATAAAAGACTTTAGGTAAATTATAAATACTCCCCTAAGATTTAATTAAAATATGAATCGTCTCTTGTGATTTTGAAAATTACATTTCACCTCCTGAGACTTATAGTTAACAAATTGCCATTTTTATTAATAAATTATCAAGTCAATTAACAGTTTTTAATTATGTTAGAAATATGTTTCAATTAATTATTTAGGTAATTTTATTATTTATTATTGTATAGGAGAGCAATATGAATTTCATTTTTTTAGTTAAGTCTGTTAAATAAAAAAATCTTGACAATGGCCTATTTGTAATTTTTCAAATTACAGGGAACAATTTGTACTTTAAATAAAACTTAGGGGATGTAATTGTAATTTACCCAAGACTTTATGTCTTTCCAAGCCCGACCCGACCCTATTTGCCTAAGGCAGGCCCAAAAAATAATTTTAAATCCCAAACTCACCCATCGGGCTATATGTTTAAAAAAAATTTAAACATTTCATAATTAAATTCAATCACACATTATATTTTTTAAATAAATATATTGAAATTGTTATAAATTTAAAAATTGTGTTTATAAATTAATTTTTTTTTTTAAAATAAATTCAATCATACATCATTATAAATGTGAGTTTTAATAAAAATAATAAAAAGAACGTGTAGATCCAAATTTTTTTTAATATATTATTGATGATACAGTTAGTCCCGGTGAATGGATCGGACTGGTCCAAGCTCCTCAAGCCCAAGTCCAAATGGTCAAGCCCACCAGATAACCTGCAAGCAAGTTCAACGGGGAACGGGGTAGTCCCCCAGTGAACCCTCCGACGAGCAAGTTAGGAAGAGAAGTAGAGTATAGAGGGAGAGATTAGAGATAGAAAAACTTAATCTTCTTCTTGTCTTCAACGTTTGCTTATATCCTTTGGTAATCATTTCGCTGTCCCTTCCGATCTGCCCTCCTCGCCGAAAGCCTATGCTGTAGCTTACCTTGTTCAGGGTAAGGGGGTCCTGTTCCGACGGGGAGGTGTTGTCGTAATAAATGCTGTGATGGGCTGCATTAATGGTGATGTGCAGTGGTAATACCTTTGCAAATCTTTGTCTGCTGATGTAGCTCGTCCTTCTCTTGCCGCGTATCTGAATGTCATTGGCTCTTTATGCCATGCTGGACTCCAGCTGTCCTGGACCTCACCAGCTGGGTTATGCATTAGGCTCTAAGTGATGGGCTTGAATTGTCCATAGGTGATTCATGGCCTTTATGGGCTTATACACGTTAATTATAAATAAATAATTAATTAAATAGGACCGAGTTTAAAGAATAAATTCCAAACCCAATCGAAAATAACATTTCCGAAACCTAAATAAATAGGGCTGGACCGATTTCCACCCTAAGTTATGTGCATGGAAATTACAATGAGTGAATGGCATGATCGAAATGGTTCAAATATTTTCGATTAACATGCAATGACTTTTTGAAAGGTAAATGTGGGCCAAAAAGGAAACCGGCCTCGTTTGGTAAGTAATTATTTTAGTTTAAAAGTCAAAAAATTAATAAAAATATCAAAAAATTTATAATCTATACTAAAAGTTAAATATTCTATTTTCTCTTTATTTTTTACATATTTTTTCGTAAAAAACTAAAAATTCTCATATTTTAATCAAAAAGTTACTAAAAGAGCATGCTCCCAAACAAGGTGTGTTTGGTTTTAATTTTTCGAATTTAATTTTTTTTAAAATTAAGTTTTTTATTTTCATATTTTTTTATTTCTAGTGAATATTTTTAAAATTTTAATTATTTTTTTTACTTTTTTTGATACACCTTATTTAGATGTATTTAAAAAGTAAAATATTTTAAAAAATTAATAGATACACAAAAATATACTGAATTCTCATATTGTTTTGGTATATTTGGTATTTAAAAAAAAAATCACCAAAATTATATTTTTTTAGTGTATTTACGTTAGATGTATTTAAAAATAAAAATAAAAATTGTTTAAATATGAAAGAAATTTAGTAAAATAAAAAATATAAAAAATAAGAAAATAAAATTTTCTGAAAAATAAATTTTAAAAACTGAAAATAAACATACTGAATAATATTTTGTATTTTGTTTTTGTGGGCGTCCATCATACGAGGCAGGATAAGGATGGAAAAATATTTTGGGCCAAACATTTGCAATTAGCTTCCTATCTGGACGCTAATCATCAGTTGTCAGTTGTAACGGTCTGTTGTAAGTTGTAACGGTCTAAAATGTTTTAAAATTTGAAATTTGAATTACCATGATTTATGAGCGCCGGAGACTGGAGTGGAACCATGCAGTAGGAAGAGGCGTTCAAGGTAGGGCCACATAATCAAAACAAGTATGGTTAGTTTGGGATGGAGGTTGATTTTTTAGTTTTTTAATTATTTTGTAAGAAAAATATCTCAGAGTCACTGGGGGTCATGAATGGAGGCTTTCTATTGGTCAAAAAAAAATTGTTCTTTTTTTTTTTTTTGTGATTTGGACGAATGGCACGCTACCACCTCAGTAGGGGTCTGTAGCAAAGTTGTATTTTGTTATTTTAGTTTGGGATTAAAAAATCTTATTTAAAATGAGTTTTTTGGCTTTTTAAGTTTTTGTGAGAGAAAAATAAAATGATTAGAATTTAGATGTAATATTTTATCTTATTGACTTTTTAACATATTTTATCTTTTTATAACTATTTTAACCCCCAAAAGATATGTCAAACGAATCCTATATGTCCTCACAATTAAAGAAAAAGAGTGATAGTTAAAATGTGTTTTTTTTTTTGTGTGGTTAAAATAGTCACAAAAAAATAAAATAAGCTTTTTAGTCTAATAAGACAAAATATTACTTCCAAACTATAATCATTTTATTTTTTCTCTCATAAAAGTTACAAAAGTCAAAAAAACATTTATCCCAAACGAGATTTTTTAACCCCAAACTAAAATAATAAAAAAGCCAAAAAAGCAAAAGCCAATCCACATCCCAAACCAGCCCTAAAAATAGTGTTAGTATGCAACATAACAATAAATTTAATCCATTTTTTGGTGCAGCAATTATATGTGTTTCTAATTTTATGCATGATTAAATTTATAATTAAGTTTATTATGTAGTTCAAATTCTCTTATACCGGACTCTATCTTTAAAATTAATATAAACCACATATTTATTTTTTATTTAAATTTCTAAGTACAAATTATATGAACCTAGTATTGCTCTTTAATCCTACAAAAAAAAAAAAAAAAAGATTTAATCATAACATTAGATGGTGAGATTTTTTTTTTAAAAAAAAGATTGAGAAATAAATCTTCATTACAAAATAGATAAAAGATCAGATCAATCTAATATAACAGTATCACAATATCTCAAAAAGAGATAAACAATCTTCATAAAAGGAAGAATATAAACTTCCAGAGGGGAGGAGAAATTGCCCTTACAAGGGAGGGAAACAAGCATCCGCACGAGAAGAATTATTATATTAACAAACTAAAAATTAAGAAAACAAAAAAAAAAATAACAGATTTAAGTCGCCACTGAACTCATCTAAAATTTCATTGATTTGCAGCCTTCAACTTGGAATCTGAAGACCCTACATTCATTGGTCAAGATAGAATATTGAGGTTAAGGTAGTCACCTACCATGAAACAAATGCGTTATCCAGCGTCAATATTGAGACTATGAAAGGATCTGAAACCATATCTTAAGTTTTGAGCTTGTGGGTAGAGAAAATAAAATGATGATGGTCAGACTGATGAGACATATATTAAATCTAAATTAAGAAGAGATCGAAGGGAGGGGAAGGAGAGGAGAGGGAGATCGGAGAGGTGGAGAAATTACTGCCATCTTCCTCTTTCATTATAAAAAAAAAAAATCTAGATTAAAAAATATGAGAAATTTAGGATTTTATAAAGAGGCACCGACTTAAATTTAGGGCTGGTTTGGCTTATCTTAAATAAGCCAAAAAGTCAAAAAGTTACTCTAAAATTCAAAAAGATATCACTATTTACCAAAAAAAAAATAATAATAATAATTATTTTCTGCCCAAAGTACACACCGAATTGACCAAAAGCCGGCTGCTAGCAGCCGCAGTGCACATATATGAAATGATTGGGTGTGATTTGCACACACACCGCTGTTTGGCCTGCGGGGGCTATTACGGGTCCCATTTTGATAATCTGAACCGTTAAATGTGTAGAACTCGTCGAGTACTATATGTCTGCAAAAAATCACATTGATCGGATATCGATAACTATATGATCAGATCAGTTATGTACGACAAATGGATGGTATTATAATTAATGATTGAAAAATAAATATATCTGATCAGATAGCTATCGATATCCAATTAACGTGATTTTTTATAGGTACATAGTGTTCGACGAGTTATACACATTAAACGGTTCAGATTATTAAAATGAGACCCGTGATAACCCCCACAGACCAAACAAAACCGTGCAGTGCTTTGTACAAAAAATAGCCAATAATTTCCAATCCCATCCACACCTTCCGATTTGTACGGCTGGGGCCCACCTGTCACTATTCATCTCTTACACACTCTTTTTATACAATTTTTTAATACACATTTTTTCATAAAAATCCAAAAAGTTAACCCAAAACTCCATATTTTTTTCTCAATTTTTTTAGTCCAAAAAGACAAAAAGCGTACTTTTTGAAGACACTCCAAACCAGCCTTAGAGTGCCACTTGCTATCAACAAGATTGTTTCATTCACATTGTTGCCTTTAATTTTTTTGTTTTGGTTGATATGTCTTTAAAATTATTATTAGTATAATTGTTCAAAATTATGATATTGTCAAATTTTCAAAAATAAAAAATAAAAAATAAGAAAATCCTTAAATTTTCTTGTTTGGTTTTGATTTTTTTGATTTTTGATTTTATTTTTAGTGATTTTTTAAATATTTTTAATTTTTTTATTTTCTAAATACGCATAACTTAAATGCACCTAAAAAATAAGAATATCAGTGAAAAAATATTTTAAAAATTCAATAAATATATACAAGAATACGAATATATATATATATATATATATTTGTAATTTTTGTATTTAATGAATTTTGTAAATATTTTTTTTATAAATATTATACTTTTTAAGTGTATCTAAAGTTAGGTGCATCTAAAAAATATATTTTTCAAAATATTAAAATTGTTGACTAAAAAAAATTCAATTTTCTGAAAAGTGAACTTAATTTTCTGAAATCAAACAATATGATTCACTCAGTTTGATTTCAATTTTCAGAATTCACTTTTCAGAAATTTTCTTTTTTTATTTTCCATATATTTTTTTTTGTTTTCACTGATTTTTTAAAAAATATTTTAAGGTAATTTTTAATTTTTAGACACATTTAACATAAATATACTTAAAAAGTATAATATTTATGTTTTTTTTTAAAAAAATACACTAAATATTAAAAATATATAAAAAAAGAAAATTCAATACATTTTTCATATTTTTGTGTGTTTATTAATTTTAAAAATATTTTTTTATTTAAATACATCTATGTAAGATGTATTTTAAAAAGTAAAAAATTACCTAAAATTTTAAAAAAATTTCAGTAAAAACAAAAAAAAAATGAAAAATAAAATATTCAATTTTCAAAAAAATAAATTAACCAAACATAATTAATTTTTTAAATCACCAAATTAAAAAAAAGAAATGAAATTTAGTTTTTAAAGAAAATGAAATTTTGAGTATTCTCAAAATTCCCGCCCAAATGGCAAGCGGCACACATCACTGCCCTGACCCAACCATTCCACGCAGTAACTTCCAATCCTTGCACTATAAAAATCTCTCTCTCTCTCACCAACGCATTTCTACATTTTCTGTAATCTCTCTCTCTCTCTCTCTCTCTCACTCTCAAGAAGAAGAATCAATGGAGGACTCAGTCAATGATCAATCTTCTGCAGCTGGTACCAAAATCTATGCCCTAATCGCCCTCTATAATGTGTTTGTATCTACTTGTGTGTGTGTGTGTATGTTAATTGTCATGTATAATTTGAATCCCGATTTTGCAGCGAACGCGCGGAGATCTTCATCGATACTTCGGTATCCGCTGCGATCCGCCACCAAATCGAAGGAGGAGAAGCCACCAGCGGCCGAATTGTCAACTTCTTCTGCGCCTAAGAGGTAAAAACCTCTCGATTTTCCCTTTTGATCCATATGTACTTACTTGTAAGAGAATCCTGCTTTTCTAGCCTCTACAGTATTTAATTTAAGGGTAAATTATAACTGTAGTCCTGTACTTTGGTCATTGTATCATTAGTTCATGTAATTTCCTTTAGTTCAATTTTGATTCTGAATTTGTGATTTTATTTCAATTTTATCCAATTGATTACAATTCTTAGCCATTTTTTTAAATATATATATGAAAAATATGCAAAAAAGTGTCATGTATCATATTTTTAAAGGTAAAATTATAAATGTACTCAACTCAGTGACTTAACTCCAACCAATTTAGTAATAATTTTCCTTAGAAAATACTAATCATATTATCAATTGGACCAATTCGATACAAAATTTAAAATTAAGGGTCAAAATTGAGCCCAAAATAATATGAGAAGTAAAATATAGGGATTACTAGTAAAATTTGCCCTTAATTTAATGCTCTCTTTGTTTTGTTGGAATGAGATGGAATGGAATGGTATGGTGATTCCCTAGGTATTAAGAATTCAATTTGATTGTACAGTTATTGTGAGCCAACATCGGTTGCCCTACAAGTAGCATGAGTTAGTGAGAAAGCTTATATATGTATGTAAAAATATATCTTAGAGAGATATTCATCATATGCTTTGGGTTTTGTCATTCTAGGTTTTGTGTATTCAGAATGATATCCTCAAACTGCTTAGAGTTTCATGTAGTTTTCACCACAAATTTTGCGGAATTACGATTTGAGTTGATTATTGCTGGCAAATTAAGTTGAAAATTAGAGAAGATTGGAAAGTTAGAAATTTGGAGAAGGAAGAGTTTTAGTGGAATTGATTTGAGTTGATTCTTGCCGGCAATTTAATCCCAAAATTAGAGAAAATTGAAAGTCAATAGAGAAAATTGGAGAAGGAAGCAAGTGTGGTTTAAGCCAGCAAGACGTGTGTACTAAAACACAAACAAAATACACAAGACAAAAACAGAAACAAGAAAAAATATCCAAAATTCAAAGAATTTCATGATTCCTCATCTCCAAATAAAGTTGTTTCCAAGAAACACATGAAACAATTCTAAACCCCAAAGGCAGTGGAAGGGGAAAGTAGAGCATGTGGGAGTGAGTCAAAGCTGTAAGAAAAGAAAAGAAATAGAAAAAAGCTTTTGAGTAGTGCTTTACATGGAACCTTTACTAACATTTTATCACAACGGTGTTCTGTTTCACATTTTAGTCTTTTAGTAATGTGGCTTGTGATTTGATTGTGGTAATTTGTGGTAATTGATGGGGAAGTATTTAAAGGAGAAAAAAAAAAGATTAGATGGTTAAGAAATTATCATGATTTGAGAAGTATATAAATTATCCGTGATAAATTATGGATGTATTGTTTACCTGCTTGCACGTGGTTGTTATTTTCATTGAGACAAGTTGCATGATATTGGTATGCACTTGATATGAACTGTAACAAAAATCAATTAAAAGGTTTAGAAGAGAGATTGTACTGATGGTATGGTATTGGTGATTTGTTGTTAGTTTTACAAGTTATTGTTGTCATTTCTGGGTGAAAATACCATGATTTGGCAAAATAAAATGGAGAGTTACTTGTTTGGTTTTGTATATTTGTTTGATTAGTACAGAATATGCCAAGTTAGCATTCAGATACTTATAAGCTAAAAAAGCATTCAGTCTTCTATAAGTTAGCATTAATAAAGGCTTTTTGAGTTGCCTTTTGCTCAGACTTACTGCCATTCAAATTTAGAAAAAAAGTAAATCTCAATATGACTTCTCTTCCTGAAATGAAAATTTTGCAATTCTTAAAACATGGTCGGTGCAAATTCTGTTGCTTGTGCTGGTGTACAACACCGTGCAAGGTTTTGTGGGTGTTTAGGGGCTGCTAAACACTATTATTTCAGAATCCCCTTAGGGGCTAGCCACACGAAGTTTATGGAATGTTAAGTTTTTTTTTCCCCATATGGCAACTTTTCTAACTAAAGTTGCAGTCTATTGATTTGTTCCTGGGATGCATCTTTTCAGAGGAAGACCTGCACCAAGTATAAGTAAGAGTGTGGGTGTCCTTGATCTCTCTGCAAAGGACAAATTGGGGAAGCCTGCTAGAAGGCTTTCTAATCCTGCCAAGCCAACTGTCGGCACTGTTCCAAGATCAGTTGGTAATATTACTCCAATTTCTGAGGCTAAAGCAAAAAAGTCTGTTGATAGTCAAGCAAAAAATGACACACCAGTTTCTGATGTTTCCAAATCTTCAAACCGAAAGAAGTTCGCTGTTCTGTCATCAGCATCGTATTGGTTATCACAGATTAAGCTGTCTGAATCTGCTGCGAAGCACACAATCTCTCTTGGTTTCTTCAAACTTGCTTTAGAGGCTGGATGTGAGGTATGACAGATCATATATCCCCTGCATGAATTCATAACATAACTAAGATGGATTCTTATTGGCTTTTGTTTGGGATAATATCATTTAGTTCAAAATATTTTTTGTTGTTGTAAAGTTGGCTTACAGTGCTTATGTTCATGTCTTAGTTTTGTCATCCATAAATTTTCATTATCTTGTCTTCACTCTTTTCTTTCTTTCTTTTTTTTTCTTTGTTTTTCTTTGTTTTTTGTTTTAATTTTTTTTCTTTTTTTTTTTTGTTTAAAAAAATTGATTCAGCCGCTTCAAAAAATGAGGGATGAGCTGAAATCTTACACGCGTCGACATAACATGGCTGAACTTGGCGAAACTGCAAAAGAATTATTTGAGAGCTACAATATATTAGAAAACTTTGAGCAGTTGCAAGTCTCTGAAACCTGTTCCCAAGCGCTCGAAGAGGGAACTCGCTCATCCGATGATGATGTCAACAGCTCTTCCTCTGTTACGGGAACTGGAAAACTGAAACCAAAGGTTTTGAACACTGATGCTAGCGCTCAAGCTTCTCCAGTCACAGAATCAGCCAAGAAGGTTACTACTCAAAAAGATAATCCTCGAATGAAGAATAGGGGATCTTTGAATAAGAATCCTTCTAACAGTCGAACTACTTCAGAAACTGCTGGGCGTAGCATATCAAAAATATCCCAAAAGCCAATCAAGCAAGAATCTAATAAAGACGAGGATAAGATCAAGAAACAGGGAAAGAAAGCTGCCTGTGAACAAGGTAACCCACAGCCAATGTGTAGATAATCAATTTCATACTACATTTTCTATTATGTAAATTGACTTGTTTACTTTTACAGGTCCAGCCAGTCCTCTGCCCACTGACAAACCCAAAGATGAACCACTCCAAGAAAACAAAGAAAACATGGTAAAATACAATTTGGAAATATCATTGTGATAATATACTGAACTTTTGGTTGTCATTTTTCCGTGAGTATCAAATGATTTAAGTTATGCTCACTTCATTCTTACCCTTTGCTTTTCCTTGGTAGTGGTGATAATGTTGCTTCTCCTACCACAACCCACAATTGCACATACCAGCATGGGTAGTTTGAATTAGAGTTGTTTGTTTATACTTAAGAGGTTGTGACTTGGAGCCATGGGAAGTGCCATCCTCTCCCAATGCATGGGATCCTCGGTCCCCAATTCTCCCAGTCTCTTTGTCCCAAAACATTCATGTCAATTGGATCAGGTCTTGAGATTATCGCACCTTGTGATTTTCAATGATCTAGTGGTTGTAAATGGTTTGGGATAGTAGACAGAGATGTGGAGATAGAGAATCCTTACCCTGCTCTCAATGTTCTGGCACATGTTTGTGTCATGAGGATCAACCTCTCCTCAGAAAAGGAGGGAGGCTGTTTACCTACTCTACCTCTCTTATACCTGCTGTAAGAGGGGGAGCTTGTACCTTTGTTTGTAGTCTGTCTATAATTGTTAGACTGTATATTTACATATATGCCCCTCTTACTTTCTCTTAATTGTTTTAGGATGCTCCTCCAATGGAAGAGATCAACTTGACTGAAGTCTAGACAGAATCTTGCAACAAGCATGCTGAATTATAAGTGGGGCGATTTTATTTTGTATAGAAATAGGGCTGTGGTGGAAGTGTTTCAGTTTCGTGATAAAGTCATTATTTTAAAATTTTCTTATTTGCCTTTAGTATTATACAATTATATATATATATATATATATATATTATGTTGGTGATTTGAGATTGTATTGAATCATTAAACTTGATGGTTTTTGCTTGATTTGGTAATTCTTTAAGTCTTGATTTGTGTCCATATGATATAATATGATTTCATACAAAATAGAGCGCTGCGATTTTGATTAATTATGATGCCATTCCGCTGCTGAAACAAGATTTTTGGTTCCCTACTATCATGCCTGTTTTGTTGATTGGAAATGAAGACTGACGGCCAAAAAAATAGTTCAATTTAACCACTGGTACTGTCTCACTCAAACTTGTTTTCCCAATTCTGTCATGGTAAAAATTTAATATTAGAAATTGGTTATTATTTATTTATTTATGAGTAAATTATAGCTGAAGTCCTTGAACTTTGCACTTTTTCCAATTAACCCCCCTCTTCTGCACTCCCTCACCCCCACATATTCTTGATCCCCCTCCGGCTACACCACCTCCGGCAGCCCCTTTTCACCCTCAGCCGCCTCTTCAATCGCTTTTAGCTCTCTTTTCTCATTAGTCAAGCAATAATGGGGAAATAGGGTAATTACTGATGAGGCTATAATTATGACTAGCTCTCCTTTTACTTAGCTTTGATCATATGCATGATGGTTCTTGATTCCTATGTATATTATTAATGATGTGTCCAAACACCATATATTTGTAATTTTATATTTAAATTAATTAGTAAATAATTTAATTAATGAGAAGGTTAAGCTTGAATTACCTGAGATATCTACATGCCAGGGATTTCCTGATCTAGACCATTTTCATATATATATGGAAATAATCAAAGTAAACTGCTAGATTTTCATTCATATTCAGTCATCCATGGTGTCCGGAGAAGTTCAAGGTTGTCATGGAGACTTAGGCTCTGTTTGGGAATTAGTTTTTTGAGTAATTTTTTGACTTTTTTATGAGGTGAAAAAAGTGAATGCTTTTGGAAATGGTTTTTTTAAATGAATTAATAGTTGTGAAAAAAAATATTTGATTGATGTGTACAATGTGATTTTTTACTATTGGGGTTGAATTTTTGACTTTTTGAGTCAAAAAAATTATACCCCAAACGGGGCCTTATTGTATAGAGATTCAAGGTTGCCCCAAGTAGCCATGTCTAGGATGGGTGACTTTTGTTGCCCTGCTTTGGTTTTGGTGGCAGCAAGCTTTTTGGGTGTGTAGCTTTTATTTTGTTGCTCTGTGTTTCCCTCTCTGAGGTTGTTTTCTCTTCAACTCTTGCTTGGTGCTTGTACATGATTGAGTTATCAATTCGGTGTCAACTTAGAATGGTTTTATTTAGCAGTGATGCTATATCACTTGCTTTCTTTATTGATTTATTTTTCAATGCATTCATTGTTTTTTTTTACATCAATAAAGTTATTTTTTAGGATTATTTACACAAAAATTTTAATTATGAATTTATACTCTATTAAGTTATAATTAAGATTTTTAAAACTTTCAAGTCCTATTAAATTTTTTATAGTTGGAATTGTCCTTCAAATAATGATTATTCATTATTTATTATTATTTATAAAGGAACATGATAATTTGACATTTATTTTAATTTTAAAATTTTAAAATATCAACTTTCAAATTGAAAAAACCAAAAAAAAAAAAAAATGTGCAAAGAAAAAAAAAAAAAATTTTTTAAAAATTGAAAAAAAATGAATTATTTTTTTTGTAAAAAACTGAAAACTTTTATAAAGAAGCATGAAGACGAAACATTGATGTGTAAAGTTGAAAAAAAAACTTTAAAAATAAAAAAACTAATAATGTTCTCAATTTTAAAATTGAAAAAAATTGACAATGTTCTTGATTTTATTAGATAGTTGAATTAAACTAATAAGTAGAATGACAAAAACATTTGATCTCATGTTCTATTTTTTTATCAGTTAGTCAAATAATTATCTAGAACATTATTATGCAAAATTGATAATGTTTTTAATTTTAAAAATAAGAAAAATTGATAATATTTTCAGTTTTACTAAATATGATTTATTGATTTAAAATTTTTTTGACAGGACCTGAGCTATTATAGCATTTATAAATAGGACTTTTTAGAGAATTAAGTCTTATTTCTTTTTGCCAATCCACAAAAAAGAAAAAAAAAAAAAGAAAAAAGTAGCCATGTCTTGAAGGGCTCTTATTCATCATCACCAAAAAACAATTAAATAAAATGAAACGGTTGATTTATGGTGTGTTTGTCTCGAGTATGTTGTGAGACTCGCATTGATAATATGATAATTATAGTCATATAATTTTAGTATGTTTATCTTTCAAATAATGAATGATATTTTTTAAATTAAATTTATTATTTATTTTTTAGAAACAAATTTAATGAAATCACTGACCTAAAATTATGAGATCAATAAAAATTTAAAAAAAAAAAAAATTATTTATGAATAATCACAAACAAATCAAATCATCATAATAAGCCTCCTAACCACTCTCATGTTGACCTATGGGCCGAACTACTCTCATGTTGAACTGTGCATTTTTTTTTAATATATATATATATATATTTAGACTAAGTTTGGTATAACACAAAAAAATTAAAAAGTTATTATCCTATTTAAGTCACATCATCTTATTTAAATCACATCACCTGTGTGAGTTTACTTGGCTTAGCACCATCTGCAAAGTGGAATTGTGATATATTCTACCAAGCAACAGTGAGCCGAATCAAAGAACAATTAGCTTGCCAGCAAAAGGTTCACCTCAATACTACAAGCTAGCCCATTACCCAACAACACAAAAACTCCCAAATCTCATCACAGAGAAAATTTAATCCAGTGAAATTCTTTGGTCCAAACCTAGAGAAAATTCAATTTAATCCAGAGAAATTCTCTGGTCCAAACCAGAGGAAATTCAATTAAGTGTTATTCTTTGGTAAAATTGGACTGATTAAGATGGAGTCCATTGATTCACTGAATTCAATTCAGTGAAAACTTTCCAGCAATATTCACAAAAGATGGTAAAGAATTTTTCTGTTTTCTCCTCTAATGTTCTACACAAAATAAAGTGAAGAGGGGTGAACACTTACACAAGTGTGAGACCTTCAACTTTGGACAAAGTGTCTGGAATGAATCCAGTAAGGCTATTGTTGTTTAGTTCCCTGACTTGCTCAAAAAAGCACAACAAAAACGAGTCAATTCCAAGAAAGAGAAAATCCGAATGTATTGAATTGTGAAATATATGGTGCAACTCAAGGTTGAAGAAAGTTCCAGAAACCTACAAATAATTCAGGTTCTTGAGGTCTCCCAATGAACTGGGTATTTCACCATTAAACTTATTGCTAGAGAGATAAAGTGTCTGAAGCTTCTCCAACTTCCCAATTGCAACAGGAATATGACCAGAAATAGCATTATTCTGTAGCAACCTACACAATTAAAACAGTAACAGTATGTGATCAAAACTAAATTTCTTGATTATTTGCGAGGATTGTAAATAATATTGTGGTAAAAAGTAAAGTGAAAACATACAAATGTAATCACATTGCATGGAAGAAAGAATGTTCCAACTTACACAGATTGCAAGTTACTGAGGTTAGCAATTGAAGGCGATAGAGTCCCAGTCAAGCTTTGGCTAGGCAATCCTCTTGCCATGGTGAAGCTATCGCAGGCTGAGATGGATCGAGCTGGGCCAGTCAGCAAAGCGATTTGGCCCGGGCTGATGGATTCGTAATGATCTCTTGATCGGTCATAGATGGATTGAGAACTCTATTCATCGGTGACTGTGATTGTGCCGTAGAGCTTCTCTCCGTCGATCAAGCTCCGCGAGAACCTCCCTAAACCTCCCCATCGACACATCTTCCGGCGACATGGCTCTCTCTCTCTCTCTGTGTGCGTGTTTGATCGTGGTGACGAGTGAGAGTAGACAAAAGGAAGGGGGCTGAATTTCTCTGTGATAAATGAGAGGACCTTAGACGTCAAAAAATAATTTTGTGGATCTCTTCGCTTACAAAAAGTGGGAGAGGGACCCTAGACTAATTTTTCAAAAAAAAAAAAATATATGCAAAGAAAAAAAATATATATATATTTTTTAAATTGAAAAAAAATGAATTATTTTTTTGTAAAAAACTGGAAACTTTTATAAAGAAGCATGAAGACTAAACATTGATGTGTAAAGTTGAAAAAAAAAACTTTAAAAATGAAAAAATTGATAATGTTCTCAGTTTTAAAATTGAAAAAAACTGACAATATTCTTGATTTTATTGGATAGTTGAATTAAACTAATAAGTAGAATGACAAAAATATTTAATCTTATACTCTATTTTTTTATCAGTTAGTGAAATAATTATCTGGAACATTATTATGAAAAATTGATAATGTTTTTAATTTTAAAAATAAGAAAAATTGATAATATTCTCAGTTTTACTAAATATGATTTATTAATTCAAAAATTTTTTGACAAAACCTGAGCTATTATAGCATTTATAAATAGGACTTTTAGATAATTAAGTCTTATTTCTTTTTGCCAATCCACAAAAAAGAAAAAAAAAAGAAAAAAGTAGCCATGTCTTGAAGGGCTCTTATTCATCATCACCAAAAAACAATTAAATAAAATGAAACGGTTGATTTAGGGTGTGTTTGTCTCGAGTATGTTGTGAGACTCGCATTGATAATATGATAATTATAGTCATATAATTTTAGTATGTTTATCTTTCAAATAATGAATGATATTTTTTTAAATTAAATTTATTATTTAGTTTTTAGAAACAAATTTAATGAAATCACTGACCTAAAATTATGAGATCAATATAAATTTAAAAAAAAAAATTATTTATGAATAATCACAAACAAATCAAATCATCATAATAAGCCTCCTAACCACTCTCATGTTGACCTATGGGCCGAACTACTCTCATGTTGAACTGTGCATTTTTTTTTTAATATATATATATATATATTTAGACTAAGTTTGGTATAACACAAAAAAGTCAAAAAATTATTATCCTATTTAAGTCACATCATCTTATTTAAATCATATCACCTCTCTACTACATCACTTCAAACCAAACCCATATTTCATAAAAAGTCAAAAAATACACTTATTTAAATCATCCCAAACAACCCCTTAGTTTAAGACCTTTTTTTAAAAATTGACTTATAAACCAACTTATTAATTTTTTTTACTTATTTAAATCATATCATTTTTTTTTATATTTTTTTATGATAAATAAAATGTCTTATTTAACACTTATGACCTAAAATTCTACATATCGCCTGACTTCAAATTTCCAACCTACTTGCATGCAAAAGCAGGAAATGAAAAAGAAATATATTAAATAAAATAAAATAAAAGATCCCTACCCACTTAACAATCATTGAATAATACAAAACAGACAAAATATATATATATATATATATATATTCATAGACTTAAAAAAACTGCTTTAGTTACTTGTCCAAGTGTGCAATGACATCTTTGAACCACACATGCACAAAACTCTTTTTCTTCCTCACGAGTGAAGTCATAAACAATTAAAGCTTGACGTTGTCATTTTTGGACACTAGAAACATCCTCATCATAGATCTACCTATATATATAGATAAGACACAATATTTAAATATATATATATACATAAATATTCACATAAGATGTTGGTGGGGGAGGCCTGAGCTTGGGGTGTGGTTTTTTCATAGTTTGAAATTTCTTAAGCTTAAATAATTTTTTTGAGACGAGTCTATATGATATAATTTTTCTTAGTTTTACTTGAACCCATTACTAGTAGACGGTAAGATTAGTATTCAAATTAGTCAATCATTAGACCGGATATCAAATTACTAATATACATATATATGTTCACAAAAGATGTGTCAATTTCCAATCTCATGGCCAAGTCAAACCCCACAAAATTATCCGCATGATGGATATGACAACAATTATCAATTGTTTGTCAACAGATTAGAAAAAAGAGAACAAAAAACAATGATAAGTGTGTTCATTCAATTTTCCATATGCTTACAATACAGGCGCCTTCTTTATGCACAATTTTCTTCATCATACATCACTACAAAATCCACAGAAAAAAAAAAAAACAAGAAAATCTAAAAATTCATATGCACTATTTCTTCAATACAAAGCACAAGTATACAAGAACATAAATGGCCAAGGATTCACTATCTCCAAATGTTTATGTCTTCATGTTCCAAAAAAATTTATAATCATTGAATCATGTGAAAATTTTAAAATATATTTAATGGTTGTAAATATTTTGAGATAGGAGGACAAGAACATTTGAGGACAGAAAATCTTTAGCCAAAATGAATAGACAAAAATCTCTAAAACCAATCACAGGACATGGTCTCTACTAGGAGAAGTAGATTTGCCCTCAGAGGTAGAAAGCGGCGGCAATGCAGGTTGCAGAAACATCAAGCTTCCCGGCTGAGAATTCGCCGATGAAGGTGGTCTGTTGAAGTAGCTTGAAGAGCATTTGATTCCATTTGGTGTAGCCGATGGGAAGCTAGAAACAAGTGGGAAGGGCTCACCAAACTTTGAATTCTGACCAACTTTGTTACTTTCAATTTGATATCCTGGGTTCCCTCCACCACCACTACCGCCAGAGCCAATGATCGATGTGAGAGCGGCAGCTAGAGCAGATTGGAAACTTGGATCGGATGTGATTGCCTTGGTTGCAGCTGCAATGGCATCTGTTTGTAGGGGCTGTTGAGGAGGGTTAGGGTTAGGGTTAGGGTTACCTTTTTGCATGAAAGTATGATAGAAGTTTTCTTGGGGCTGTCTAGCAAAGCTCAATGAATTAACTTGATTCTTGTTGTAGGTTTGAGACCCATAGTTAAGGACCCCCACAGGTATAGGATTGGATTCAAAAGAACTAAAGTTGAGATTTGTAGAAGAATATCTTGGAGTTGAAAGGAAATTTGAAGAAGAGGTTATATTGAAATGGGAAGAGGAAGAGGAAGAGGATGGGGTTGGAGTAGTGAGGTCAAGAGTGATTGTTGGGTATGAAGGTGAAGATGACATTGAACAATTGGGTAGGTAGAACTGTTTTGATTTTGAATGATCAGAGAGATAAAAGTTGAGTCCACGGAAGTCGGCGGCGGTGGCAGAGGTGATGGTGCCACCTGATGAGGTGGATGAGCCAGAAAGGAGCATGGAAGCGGCGGCGGAGGTGGTGGAAGCCATAGCAGTGGCGGAAATAGGAAGTGGGTGGTTGTGTGTTCCTTCATAGGTGGTGGTCAAGATGGATGTGTCCTCAGCACATCTTTGAACCTGAAATTCATGAAGAAACCATACTTAGAGAGATTATTAATGGGGAAATAATCATTGATCTATGTAGTTTGAATAATGTGATATGCCCTAACTAGTGTACTAATTAGTGTACCGACAATGTAGTATAATTTAAGAGATTTTTGGTATTTGTAATTTGCATAATGAGTGAAGTCCATAATAATGTCATAATTAATGTTCGTACACTAGTTAATATATTAATTAATGCATGTAGTACCACCGCTATAGCTCACTATGTTTGGATTGAGTGATTTGGAGAGAAAAGAAAAGAAATGGAGAGAAATATATTTCTCTTACTTGTTTGGATAACTTAAGTGAAGAGAAATGGAAAGAAATAAAGAGAAATGAAGAGAAACTTATTTCTCATATAAGTCTCATTTTCAATCTTTCCAAAAGTGGAGAGATTGGGAGAGAAAAGAAATCACTATTTTCATAATACCATTTTTGTCCCTATAAAAATAAAAGAAATAAAATGATTGAAAATATAAAAAGGTTATTTTAGTAATAGAACCTAAATAATTTCTTTCCTTTTCTTTTAATGAAATCTAACCAAACAATAAGGAGAGAAATCACAATCATTTTTTTTCTTTTATTTCTTCATTATCCAAACAAAGAGGAGAGAAATCACAATCATTTCATTTCATTTCTTTTCTCTTATAACTTAAGTAATCATTTCTTTTCTTTTCTCTTCTAAGTTTCCAAACATAGGGTAATTGATGGTTCATTTTCATCTTCATAATTTGAATCTTATCAATTTAAATTCCATATTCCAATGATGTTTTAAACGTAGCCCCCTCAGTCCGTTGACCAAAAAATGTTACATGCCACTTATGTCAACAGTTTAGCAATTCCATTGCAAGGAAGAACATAAAAAATTTATAGTAGAGTTCCTTATAATTTTAAACAAATTTTGCTTTAATTACTATAATTTTGCATGTGTTGTTTTTTTGGGTTGATATATCAAGAGATAGTGACAAAAGGATAACATTAAAATAGAAATGAAAGTATAAGACTAAAATTGATAGAATTAAAATTACAGAGATTAAAGAAAAATTTTGTAACAATTATTTGACCATTTCTGATTCACAAACAAAGGTAGGGTTCAACTAAATAATTTCAAGATAAAATAATCTCGCATTTGGTAACATTAAATTGATGAGTACTATTTACTTCATCAATTGAATTTTATTTTGTAGACCATAAAAAACTAATTTCAAGAGGCTATTTTATTCCACATATGCTTGATTATTTTGTTCTAAAGAAAATATGTAGCAATTTATGCTAACATATATATATATATATATAATTTTTTTTTTGGTGTGTGAGCTGAATAACTGAAATAACCTCCCCAAATAAGTCATCCTAGAATTTTTTATTCTTGCGGCCAAATGACCAAAATATTTTCCCAAACAAAGTTATCTTAGAATTATTTATCCCAGAATAATTTTTTCTATTTAATCCTATCTGTGAATTAAACATATAAACATTAGATAATGGGAACACATTATTTATATACCTGCTTTCTTACAGGACATGATGGTGAAACAGTGCAACGATAGTATGCTCGAGGGCATGGATTTCCTTTCGCAATCTTTTGTCCATACTTTCTCCATTGGCATCCATCCACCATCTATATTTAAAAAAATAAATAAAATAAATATCAATACATGTTATTTCACCAGACATTGTTCTATATTTATTGATTTTCATTAATAAATTTTTCTTTTTACTGAAATAACAGCAGAAAATCCTTAACCATTGCACTATACTCCATGGGTGATTATTCAGTATTCTCTGAGTATGAACACGTGGTACTTCATAAAGTCTTGATTGGTGGAAAGACACATGTGTTAAGTAATTGATAATTGATTTAGATTATGAACACGTGATTGCTCCGGAAATATTAAATAATTTCCCTTATTCATGAGAAGTTATATTAACTAACCGTTGGGGTATCACATCGAACTCTCACAGAAACCCTAGCTTTCTTTGCAGGGTTTTGCTGTGAAACTTCATCATCTTCGCTTCTTGTCGTCTTCAAAACTTTATTTGGTGCCCATCCCTCTCCGGCTTCTTCTTCCTTCATTTCTAAGCTGTTCTCTGGGCTTGGCTTCACCGGAGTCTCAATCGGTCTTGTTTTAGACATGTCAAAATCACAGTGCAGTCCGAGAGCCAACCCTTCTTTATCGTCTTGTTGAATATCCTCTTTGCCTTTTCTAGGTTTTTCAATGTCCTTTTTTGAATCTCTTGAAGTTCTTCCAAGACTGAGGGAAACAAGCTGATCAGGATCCTCGGTTTCTTCACGAGCTGTATTTGTGAATTCCTTCGATTCTTGTCGAGCAATGTCATAGAATTGCATCTGAAGGGTCTGGTATTCCTTAATAATCCGATTTAAATTCATTCTTAATCTTTTGTTTTCTTCTCTCACTTCGCCCATCTCGGCTTTGGCAGATTCAAGCTGATTATCCTACATACCCATTCAAGAAATTGCATTTAGTACTAACATATAACAAGTGTTCTGTGAAAGATCTAAATTGTATGATACTTTCAACTCTCTCTAAATATTCTTGAAGTAAAATTTAGGGTACATTTCATTGTGTTTCCGTTTTCTGTTTGTATTTTTATTTTTTGAAAAACATGTGCCAATATAATTAACTCTTGGTACATGTGTGAACATTGCATGTATGAAATTGGAATTGATTTATATTGTTTTTAGTTGAACTTGAAGGGGGAGTATATCCCTAAATTGAGCAGTGGTGACCATTGATAGACAAAAACAAAAATCATATCATTTCATGGAATCTCAGAGCTAAGCTAAATTATATTCAATTTTAATTCAAATCTGAAACTAAATTTAATTTTCAAGAACTTTCTACAAGGAGAAGAATTATTTCGTGGGCTTACTCAAGCTAATTAACTATCACTTTCATGCTTCTTAAGAACAAAGATGAAAACGCTTCAAACCTGATCTTTTTGGACCGATGAAGATGCTCTTGAATTGGGTTCTGCAGATGATCTATCCATTGTTGGCATAACAGACATCTGTTTGAGAATTGCAGTTAAAAGTTAAAATATGCAAACAAGATCCATAACGAAATAGTTAATGATCCAAGCTAGGGTTATGCTATCAATATTGGTTTTACTTTTCTTTCAGGAATCCAGAAAAAGAAAAATCAAATTCAATATTTTTGTCTATGAAGTCATGTGGTCTAACTGAGGACCAATCAGATTGAATTGCCGGTTATGTGCTGAAAAATCTTTTTCAATTACAAGTCATAGAGTTTGATCTCTTCTTAGTTGATAATGGTCAAATATTTCGTTTCATCTCAAAATGTTATATACAGTTATGTCGATCATTGAACCGTTATAGATCATCAACATATTGTTAATGAGGTTCCATGGATGAATATAGCCATCAATTTTTTCTTCTTGATCAAAGATTTAAACGAACAGGTCAAACTGTTAATAATTAATATAAAATTCATTTGTCATATCTACAACGAATGTTTCTTGTAAATTTAGGTGAAAGACAAAATAATCAAAGAAGTTTAATTACAAAATACATATGCATAGTTGATAATCCAACTTATATGCTGAAATATTTTTTGTTTAATTCATTATTACTCTTAAAAATAGCCCGAAGACCCAAAGAACAGCAAAAATTTTGTTACCTGATTGTCATTTCGATTAGGCGACAATGGCTTCAGATTATGATCCTCATGATCATCCCTTCCATTTCCAAACTGAAGCACAATAAAATCAATCAGCTTATCAGTATAGATAGTTTGAACTGTGTTGAAGTATATATATAGATGTGTCTAAGCATAAGACACGTGGTCGACAAAATTTCACAAAAGATATAAAAAATAGTCAAATGAAATAAGATTTAGATAAAGACCATCAAGATATTTTGAGATAACCCACCAGTGCATGTTATCATCCACAAAATTTAAGCCAGGCTTTTTTTATTATTATTATTTATTTTTATTTAAAAAAAAAGAAAAGAAAAATTCTAGAGTTCTCTTCATGTCAAATCTGTAAATGTTTTCTACCCAGTCGTCATTTGTCATTTAAAAAGTTTGGAGCTTCTTCATATAGATTGTAGACTCATATAATTCATTTGAAAATTGAAAACTTCCCAAAAGGTGGTGATTTGAAGAGGTTCATAAATTGAATGAACAAGCAAGAGAAAGAAAAAAAAATATATTGCAAGCTCATGGTGATGTACTTTAGTTTCTTTTTAATCCAAATTTCTTCCCTTTACCGATCAAAAGAAAGAAAAAAAAATAAAAAATGCTCATAGGAGGGGGAAGAAGATGATTCACCTTGAGAACAATCTCTTCCTTGAAACTTTCTTCATTGCCGCTCGATTCAACTCGCTTCTCTTCCTTGATTCCACCTCCTTTACAAGATTTTCTCAAAGAAACTACCTCCATCTCTCTCTCTCTCTCTAACTTGTTCTCTCTCAAAATCTCTATCTCTTTCTAAGTTCTTATCTTATAACCATGAGTTGCAGTTCTCTTCTTATAAGGGAGAGCCTGCTGTATTTGACTCCTTAAAATTAATTAAAATTCAAATGGCTCCACCTAGCACACACACACACCCCACACACACACCACAACAAAATGTCAATGGTCCAGTTGCATTCAAGCAAATTAACCCAATATTTATAATATATTTTCATCCTCAATAAAAATTTAAAAAATAAATAAATTAACAACTTGAAGAATTCAACTTCAACGTTTAAGTCTTTCTTGTAGATAAACATGTCACACAAAGAAAGAGATTTGGCCGCAATAACCGCTCCCTACCGCGTACAACAACAACAACAACAACAACTATATATATTTATATATGATTGAAGTTTCTTAGTATAATATTACAAAAAAGTCACATGGGGTTGGTTATATCGGTCAAACTTGTCTTATCGTCGTCATCTTCGATCTTAATCGTCGGATGATGACCGGAGTTTAGCTGCTTGAACGGTGGTCACTGTAGGAATAGGGTTTTGATTGTGTAAAGGTCAGTTACTTTGTTGTTGATGCTATTTGACTTCATTTCCATTCACACCTTTTGTTTCTCATGACTTGCAGTAACTCAAATGTAAAATCATGGTTTTAAATATTGCTCCTTATGTATTTTAAAATTTTGTTTTATTTTATTTTGGTTGGTTTCTTACTAATTTGGTATTATGTTGGGTTGGTTAATGATTGATCTTTCATTTCGGTGTCAATGTTGTTGGCATGAATTTACTTTACTTCGATACTTTTTTTGCTCTCCTTCATATATTGATGTTTGTCTCTGTAAAACATTATCTAATTTTTATTAATAATTTTTTTATTGACAAAAAAAAAAAACATACTTTGGAATTTAGAATTTATAATCTTAATTAATATATGATAGGAGATTTGGTCAAAGTCTCATCGTAATAAAATTTTAATACATTAAGAACAAGTACAAAAGTAATATTAGATACCTAAAATTTGTACTAAATTTTCTAACATTAAGAACAAGTACAAAAGTAATACTAGATATCCTAAAATTTTTACTAAATTTTTTATTAAATGTCTCACATGAGTGTAGCATTCACATAGGACCCACATAGTGCAGTCCCATACTCATGTAAGACCTTTGGTAGAAAATTTTGTAAAACTTTGGGGGTCTTTAGCATTTTTTAAAAAGTTTTCCTTGAAAAATCCAACACATACTACTATTATCAAAATATTAAACTTTAGAATAATATAACTTTTGATATAAATGTCGATTTTTAATAAAATTAGCATTTTTAGAATCCTCTCATCAAGATTTATCAAATAATATCCATGTTGACTATGAAGTTCTTTAAAAAAAAATGACTGTCGAAATTGATGTAAATAGGAACAGTAACATGTTACTTTGTTTGACAGTAACATATTACTCTGGTTCACAGTAATAAGTTACTCTAGCAATATTATCTAATTTTTTTTTTTTTTTTTACTTTAATTTACTTTGTCCTTACTGAATAGGGGGTTCATGAAGTAAAATAAATTGAGTTGTCCTTTTCTAGGGGTGTAAATTTGGCCCGGCTCAACCCATGTAAGGCCCTGCGAGCTCCCGCCAAATTTGGGTCGGGCCACGAACCAAAAAATTAGGCTCAGGCCCAAGCCCAGGGGTATTTTGGCCTAGGTTGTGCTGGTGGGCCTGGGCCTGGCCTCGGACTTGGGCAGGCCTGACTACTTTTTTTTTGTTTTTTTAATTTTTTCTATCACAATTTATTATTTTCCATAAAAAAAGACACTGGGTCTAGGGCAGGCCGAGTCTTAGGCCGGGCCTTGAGTAGGCCTTAAGCGGGTCGATGGGTTGGGCCTACGAGTCGAGCCAGGCTTTAAAATGATGGCCTAGGCCTAGGGTCTTGGCCCACCTCAGGCCACGGGTCATTTTTACACTCCTATCCTTTTCACCAAACAAGGGTCCAATAGAGGGATTTTAACTAAATTTTCCTTTATTTTTTCCTAAGAAAAGTATTGTATGTAATTGATATTTTTTGGAAAAATTACAAACAAAAGCCCAGGGTTTAACTCTTGTAACAAAATAAATTCAATTTTTAATTTTGTCAATTGAAATCTTATTTTTTATTTATTTATTTTTTTGTTGGAACCATTTGTCAATTTTCGTAAGTAAAATAGACGAGAAAATGAGTATTTGAGTTATAATCTCAACGCAATGAGTATTTTAGACATTTTACGTTGAGTATAATGATTAAATATTATTTTTTCATCGGTTTTAGCTAATGAAAATAGGCAAATTGTTTAGATTGGAAGCTGGATAAATTGCAGCAATAGTCTCTGTATGGGAAAGAAATAAACCTTTTCGTATAATCCTGTTGATCAAGTCTGCGCTCCTCCGTACGTCGTCGCTTTACTTCCTAAAAACACAAACGTGAGCTAGCCGGCGGGTGTGTGCCGGATACCTCTCCGATGCCTAAGTCAGCAAAATAGACAAATAGACAAAAAGCTCTGTGAATTCGGGAGTCAAAGTTGTGTTACCTCTCCATAGGTGATGTTATGAGCTTTTATAGGTTCCGCGTGGCATAATCCTAATAGGACTCTTACTCCTCCATGTAGAGTCCTCCTAGGATTCATACTCCTGAAAGATAATGCTTATCCTTCAGCACCTCCCTCACTGCTTAAACTAAGTGAGATGGTTTTACCATGGCCAGACTCCAACGTGATCGAGGTAAGCATGGCTATGCTAAGCCGCAGACTAGACCGAGCTAACCTTAGCTCGGCTCTTCCATTTACTGCTCTTACCCCGGTTTTCCCTATACAAACCACAGTATGATTGGACCGAGCTAACTATTAGCACGGTTCCGACCAATCTAATACCACTGCGCCATGACCGGTATAACGTTTAGTATGGTGACCGAGCTAACCGTTGCTCTTTTAGGACCAGACTAATTACCAAGCCTTTTTACTTAGTCTGGCGGCAAGAGCCTTACTTTGGACCGAGCTAACACTTGATCGTGGCCCATCTCCCTAGCCTCTTCATTACGGCCCAAAGAACAGCCTATTGCCTAGCTCGGCCCAATTTACATATAAACTACCTTCTCAATTGCCCCTTAATTCCATCTGCACTGCATGATAGGGATTACCTGTCACCAGCCGAGCTAAAAAGTTTCATCCTTCCAACCGAGCTAAAACCATTTAGCCTTTCCAGCCGGGTTAAAAACCCTTTTAGCCTCTCTAGCCGAGCTAAATTCACACCGGGCTGTACCTGTCCGGTCAAAACGTCTCTTCAATCACAGCAACTGAAACGTTTCTCATTTCATGGACACGTGACATGCTCTTATTGGCTGAAGGCAGCTGTCACGCCGCCCTCGTACCTCGCGTTTTTTGAACAGTTCCCGCATTTTCGACCTTCCTTCTCTTTTCACAAAACAATCCTCAAGGTTTAGAATCATTACTCATCTCCTTCTTTTTCTCTTGTAACCTCCACTGTCCTTCAACCTTGCAACTGTGAAGCTCGTGTTTTTGCTGCTGCCGTTTGCTCCCATCCTCTAGGCTGTTCGATCTTCATCAGGTAAGCATTATAAATCTGTTTTATTTTTCTTGTTTTCGAACTTGTTCAATCCACCGCATTTTGTTTTGTGTGTTTTTGCATAACACACTCTTTTCCACTTTTGCTTTGCCATGCGTCTTCTGAAAAAACTTATAAGAACCACTTGAATTTCATTAAACAACCTGTAGGACACTGTAGTTGATCCAAAATCACAATATAACCGAACTAATAAGTAGTTTGTAGTTGACATTAAACCAGACTGACTAACTAACCGAACTAGAACTCCATGCTATGCCATCAATTTCAAGAAATAAAACCTCCTTGTGATTCGACTAGCCGATCTTTTGAACCGTACTAGGTCTATGCAATACTATGTTTGAAAGCCTCAACCACGACCGAACTATGACTGGGGCTAAACCAACCTTCGTAGTTTAACCGAACTACGAGTGCTGCCCCTAGAGGCTCAACCGGGTTAACAAAACCCTTGCACGAACTGAGATAACGAACCCCTTGTATAAACTGAGATACCAAATCCCTAGTGCAAACCGAGATAACCAAACCCTTGCTCAAAATCGGGCTAAGACACGTAGCATTTCACATAGCCGAGCTAAGATTTGATATATCTTGCCTTTATTTCTGTTTAGCACGGTCCAACGGTCTGTGCTTAACACCTTTGTTTTTTCACTTTGCAGACTTTAGGTTGCCCAGGCACTCCTTTGAGCGCTCAACCGAGCTACTCAGCACCTTTCTCCGACCGAGCTATCACAAGCTTAATTTATTCGTAACTTAAGACAAAAATGGGTAAATATAGGTTTTTAGTAGAAACACCTGGTGGCCTGGTCGAATTTCGAAGGGAGTATAACATTCCTGACGACGTCCATCTCACCTTAGCCGAACAAGATATCATACCTTGGGAAAACCCTGGTTTTGTTCCCTTCACCCTCCTTTCCATTGTAGAAACCGGCCTAATATTCCTTGTACAGTCTTTACTTTGTGAATTCCTTAGGCAAACTAGGATATGCCCAACTCAGCTTTCCACAAACTCATACCGCATAATAAATGGTATAGCCGAGCTAAACCGCCGAGCTGGCATTAACCTCGGCTTAGCTGAACTCTTTCATCAATATTCAATAGGATCAAAAGAAGATGGCTGGGTCTATTATCTAAGAATACGTCGTCGTCGAGAGAAAATAATAACGAACACACCGGATAAAGACTTGAACAATGATGATTTCTTCTGGGTTTTTGGGAATTTCGAAGACGAAGAAACCCAGATTCCTGGTGACCGAATAAACTGGAATAAAGGGACCACTCGTATAATTACCTCGGTTCTATTACATGCCTCTTTTTATTTCGGTTTCCTGTTCCTGAACCGAACTGACAGTTGTCTTCTTTATGCAGACTCAGCCCACCTCAAGTCACTGTACAGTTACCCTAACCTAAACACACTACGCGCCGCACTACGGTATCCTGAAAGAAGTTGGGCCAAGCTGCTCAATTTTGAACCGACATACAGATATAGCAGTCGACGAAAAGCCAGAGTAACAGACTTTTTGT